GGTGGGGGGTAGCGGCAGCTGCCACCATGTGCATGCTTTCCCCTGCACCCCTATGTTGCCTCCACATCTTCCCTTACAGCTGCTCCTAATCCACTTGGTGTCTGTCAAACAAAAAGAAAAAAAAATCTCAATTTAAAAGTGCTCCCTGCCTCAGGGACTTTGCCGGGGGGGGGCACGGCGTAGATTAAGGCCCCTGTAGTGAGAGAGGGAAGTGAGGCTGGCACTGCACAGCTGGGGCAGGGAGGGTTACAGGACGGAACTGCAGCTCATCCAGGGGGTGTGGGGAGGGGGGACAGCCCCTGCCATTGTATGCACCCCAGGAGGGCATAGTCTGCCCCCCAGACATGGACAAGGGCAGGCTGTTGCTAGGCTCTTCCCGACAGGGGTTCTAGTGCAGGGCCAGGCTATGCTCGGGGCAGGCAGCAGAGGTTGTGGGAGGTGAGCTACAGTGAATTTTGGAGTGGCTGCAGCCTGCCTCATAGCCCCCCTCCCAGCTCCGTCTCTGCCCCCCCTGAGAACAGCCCCAGCCCGAACCCTCCACCAGGAAGAGCCCAGCACCGCAGCAGCAGCCCGCTCTCACCCCATGTGCAGATCCAAGGGGCACATGCCCCCTATGCCCTCCCAGAGTGTGTGCAGCAGCGTGAGCCCCGCCCCATACCGCCCAGATGAGCAGCTTGCAGCTCCATCCCATGCCCCATCCCCGCTGTGCAGTGCTTGCCCCAGCCCCAGCCCCAAGCCCATTCCCTTCCCTTACCACAGGGGCCTCAATCTGCTCCCCCCCACCCCATACCCCTTCCCCTCCCCCCACAACAGACTTACCAGCTGGACACTGCTCTCCATGCTGACAGACTGCATTCTTGGCCACCTGCATGCCACACTGTGGCTAAAGGCATGCACAGGACATTTATCTGCAACATTATCAGCCAAAAAAAGCCAACTGCCAATAATGTCAATTTTCCTTATATCAGTGCCGATGTGATATGGGACTGATGTATCGGTGCACCTCTAGCTACTTGTTTTAAACTTGTCTTCTATTAATTTCAGTGGGTGCCCCTAACTCTTATTCTGGGACTCTATGAGTAACAGTCCCATGTTTATTTTATCCATAGCCTTCATGATATAGTAGACTTTTTATATGCCCCTACCTCAGTCTTCTCCTTTCCAAACTGAAGTCCTAGCCTTTTCAGTCACTTCTGATACAGCAGCTACTCCATATCCCTGATTATCTCTGTTGTCCTTTCTTATACTTCCTCTAATTCCACTATATCCTTTTTAACATATGGAGACCAGAACTGCATAGTGTTCAAGGTCTCTTTTCTGAGTTGCAATAGCTAGGTCAGAGCACAGCATTGTGTACATATAGCTGAGGTTATTCCCGCTTCCTTCCTCTCCCCCTTCCTCATGCATTACTTTGAACTTGTTAACACTTAAACTCATCTGCCACTTTCTTGCCCATTCACTTTCGAAAGATCTTTGTGCAGCTCTTCACGATCAGCTTAAGATGTGGCTAACCAGAATAACTTAGTACCCTCTGAAAATTCTGACCTGGAAAAGGGACTGCACACAGTGAAATTTCATTTATGAAAATAAGCAAAACCAGATCCCCAAAGGCCCCAACTACTGACTTTTCTTCACCTTGAAAAAGGACCATTTAATGCTAGCCACCATTTCCTATCTTTTAACCATCTTGTGACCCAGAAAAGGACTATGGCAAGTCAGCTTCTTTTTCCCTTAAAAGGAGCCTCTGGTGAGGGGTCTTGTCAAAAGGTTTTTTGAAACTAAAAATATAGGACAAGGGAGAATCAGTTGTCCATTAACACCCTCAAAAAATTCTACCACGTTGATAAGGTGGGATTTCCCTTTACAAAAACCATAATCACTCAGTCCCTAGCAAATTAAAGATTATCCCAAATTTAAAATGGCCCCCTAATAGTTGTATTCTATACCTGGAAAATATTTAAATTATCATACTTTTCCAGGTATAGAACCTAATTGTTGGAGGATCATCTTAAATTCATCATCCCTCCCTCCACCCCCAATTACTGCAGATAGTGAGGGGGATAGATACTGATGGGACACTAATAAGGCAGTTGGGGGTGAGAGACTGAGAAGGGCACGTGGTAAGAGAAGCAGTAATAGGGCAGGCAGTGAAGGAGGCAGTAAGGGAGCAGACAATAGGAGGGCACTCAGTGTGGAGGTAGTAGGGGGACCGCACAATTTGTCCCCTGCTGCCTCTCTCCTTCCCCCCAGCCTCAGGCTCCCCTGTTCCCCCTCTTTCAGGCTGCTTCCAGACCGCACCATCACAGGTCCCCATCCCTCCTTCTCCTACAAAAAGTCTCCATCCTGTTCCCTTGCCTTTGCTATGGCACCAGCAGACTCTGCCCACACTGCAGCCTGGGGCACTGAGCATGGTTCCAGCCCAGGTCCATAGCAGCAGTGCAGAGACAGCATTACTGCTATGGTGCTGTGCTGCAGGCTACAGTGAGGACAGAGCCTGCTGGCACCAGAGCAAAGGTAAAGGGAAGCACAATTGTGGGAGAGAAGGGAAGAAAGAAGCAGCACGGGGGAAAGACTGGGTGCAGTGGGGGCCCAAGGCTGCAGGGGACAAGCAGGCACAGGGCAGGGAGCAGCTGGCACTCCCTGACCTGGGGTTGGGGCTGGAGCTGCAGCCACATCACCCACCTGCACCCTCCCCTGCTGTCATCTCATACTCAGTTTTAAGATGAGGGGCTTCCCCCCTCCCCAGGTTACATGGGGAAAAAGCCAGAGTCTTTTAATTGAATAAATATGGTATTTATCCACGTGTTTGATAGTTGTACTATTATAGATTCTGCAAACTTGCTACGGATAGAGGTGAGATGCACTTGTCTGTAGCTTCCTGGATCACTTCTGGAGCCCTTCTGAAAATGAGGTTTATGATAGCAACCTGCCAGTCGTCTACCACAGAGGTGACTTGCCCCAGTAGGTTATATACTATCGCCTTTTTGATGCTCTCCGCTAACATTCTGGTACCTTTCTGGTTTAAGTAGAGCCCATCCCTCCTGTACAGGCTCCTCCTTTCCACAGTTGATAACAAACTTAAACCTTGTCCTTTCTACACCATCTCAACAGCTTGTTGAAACTGCAGTTACGCCTATCTCCCTGACTGGAACTCCCTGTACAGAATTGGAAGCACTTTAGAGAAGGCAGGTAAGTAATAAAGGGAACACACGCCATCAAGGCTCAGGGGCACCAAGAGCCCCCTTTGGGGAACTTAAAATGTCTTTATACAAATGCCAGGAGTATGGGGAACAAGCAGGAGGAGCTCACACTCTTGCTTGCTAGCACCCAGTATGACCTAGTCGGACTAACCGAGACATGGTGGGATTCTACACACAACTGGGCAGTAGACATTCAGGTGTATAGGTGTGACAGAGTGGGGAAAAAAGGTGGGGGGGTAGCACTCTATGTTAAGGAGCAGCATATGCCTTCCACCATTAAGGCGGTGGTGGAGGAGAGGAACACCGAGGCACTGTGGGTCAGGATCCAGGGGGGGCCAGGGGAAAAGGACTTGGTTGTGGGGGTCTACTACAGGCCTCCTCATCAGGATCAAGAGCTAGACAATGTATTCTCTGGGCAGCTAGCAGACGCCACATAGGCAAGGGAGGCAGTGGTCATGGGAGATCTAAAACTACCCAGATATCTGCTGGGAGGAGAAGACAGCCAAAACAAGCCGCTCATGGAGGTTCTTACACTGTGTGCAGGACCTCCACCTAACCCAGGTGGTGTCTAGTCCCACCAAGGATAGCGCCTTGCTTGACCTGGTCTTAGCAACAGGGGATGATCTCATGGGGAACACGCGAGTTCATGGTAGCCTGGGAGATAGTGACCATCACTTGGTCGAGTTCACTATCCAGCGAAGGGTGGGTAAAGTAACTAGTGGGGCTAAGGTGCTGGACTTCAGAAGGGCGAACTTCAGCAAGCTTAGAAGGCTAGTTAGTGAGGGGATGCAACTCAAGAACATA